CCTCTCTCTCTTTTGACCCAAGCAGTGCAGGTGGGAGCTCAGGCTTGTTCTTTCGAACTGTACCAACCATGGTGATCTTCCTCTTCAGGAGCTGCTGTCCGAGTTCATAAGAGTTGAAGAAATTGTCACATGTCACATTGTGACCCCTCAGTCCCTCTGTCACATCAAGCACAACTCGCAACCCCTGGTTCTTCTCTGGGCATCCACTGGTTGACTTCCCAGTATAGACTTGCATTTTCCAAGCATAGCTTGATTCGGAAGCCACCCATGACTTGATCCCATATTTTGCTGGCTTGCTGGGCATATACTGCTGGAAAGGACAACAACCTTTGGACAAAAGACATTAGCATCAGTGATTAGTATCAGTGTCACAGAAAACAGTCAAAGAAATCAATAGTGAAAATCACTTTTATTACAAATATGAAAACAGATTACCTCTAAATGGAACCAGTTGCTCATCCACTGTTACATCAGGCTCTGGATTGTAGAGGTAGGGTAACCGCTCCACCCACTTGTCCCATACCTCTCTTATGGCTGCAAGTTTGTCTGTCATACATCTTGCTGGTCTTGATTCACGGTCATCAAATCGCATCAGTCTTGAGTAGGTGTGAAAGAGTTTGAGTGGCATTGTGGCTCGGAAAATTGGCCTTCCACTCTCTGCTTACTTCTGCTACTGATTGATCTGAGACACAACTAAGACTTTGTAACATTTTATGGTTTGTAAATAACTCTGTGACCTTGATTTCAACTCCATTTGCCTCACGGGTCATTTTGACCTGAAGACCATCTTTGTACCTTTTTTTGTACAGCTTACATGGAAATGAGACTAAAAGCAACACTGAACTTGTTCTATTGTCTGGGCCAATCTAGGAAAAGTCTTAAAATCTCAAGTTAAAAAAATTACATTTAGGGGATTTTGGGGGGGGGGGGGGGGGGGGGGGGGGTTAACACAGTGGCGGGTCATTTTGACCCGAGGACAACAGGAGGGTTAACATATTTTGATCAAGACGATAAAAGCAAATTACAATTATAAAAGCATAGAAGTGTACATAACCAGCTACATGATGTACAAAAGCAAAACTTGCAAAACTAATTTTTTGATGTGCAGAAGTGACACAGTAATTTGAAGATTGAACAGGTAGTTTTAGGAATTTCAATTCTGTTCTGAGAGATGCACCCAAACTGAGAAAAGCTGTAAAATATTAATATTTAAATTCTCTTATTTTAAAATCCTTCAACTGTCATGGACCCAGTGACTTTAGTGCAAGTATTTTGGGGGTGAGAGTCAAGACATCAAAGGAAAATATTAAATAATATCTCTGATGCCAAGCTTTATACTTCTAAGTATTACCAAAGTATTGAAACAAAAGCTAACATGTTCTTCAGAGATTTAACTTGCATGCATGAACATTTCACACTCAAAGTAATTCAAATTAATTATTGAACCAAACTTGGAAAAAGTTGCTTCTGCCATTAACAATAACTTTAAGCACATGTAGTCTAAAGTAGACCAGAAATATAATCTATGCAGCCGTTCCTACAGAAACATTAATGGAAGTGTTGCATCTGTGAAGATTAAATGTTCCGTATAGTAAAAATATATAGCTGCAGTGCATATACATAAACAGCATGGCTCAGAAACTACACATTTCTTTGTCAGTTGGTTAAAGTTAGCTAACTTCAGTTAAAACCGTGAAAGGGACTCACCTGTGATGTGTTGCCCTTCTCCTCCTGAATGTGCAAAAATAGCAGAAATTTGATTTCAAAGACAGTAGCAGCATCTTGACAAGGACCAGGCCTACTGGGCTCTCAGCACCCTAGTTAGCAACCTTAGTTAGCACAGTGACTTTACTGTGTTGAGTTCAGGACACCACTACAGGAACAGAGTTAAAAGAATCTTGCTGCTGATGCTGAAGGATCAAGCAGCAATGCAAACTAGATAATTATTTGTTTACATGACAAATAACAGTCTCCATTTACTGTAAACCCTGCTATTTATCACAATAACAAAATGAAAAACTCTCTAGACAAGGGGTCCCCAAACTACAGCCTGTGTCATTTGGTCTGGCAATGCTGGATCCGGCCTGCCTCCTCATACCAGAGAGCATTCAGTGTAGACTATCTAGACTATTCTCTACTAATAGCACAATATTTAAAACCAAGTGTGGGATTTGTGAAACTTCAATGATGGGTGACTTTACAACTTGTATGATTTTGGATAACACTAGAATTGTTCTTTATTGAAGTTTCACAAATCAGATAAAGGTTTTACAAACACCACACTTGGTTTTAAATATTCTGATATGAGTTGAGAATAATCTAGTCCAGATTTGAAGAGTCTAGGTGTTGTAGTTTTTTAGCTAGAGTAAATTAAAGATGCTGATTGTAGTGAAAAATTAGGTGGAATTGCCCTTTAGCCATTTCCCAAATTGGAAGCAGCAATTGGAAACCAACTTCAGCTTCATTCAAGCAAGAGGGGCTAACATACAGTTCTCTTAATGTTAATGATCAAATACTCTCATAAGTGATGGTGGCGTTGGCTGTAGGAGTTTGCTTTGCAATCGGTGGATCGCCAGATCGATGCCTGGTCTACTGCTGAGATTTCAGTTTGGTGTATTAAAGGCATTATTAAAAAAGAAACCAGAATATCACACCAGCATTCTGTTCTTTGTAAAAAATTCTTTTGCAGTCTTGTTTACGCTTTTACATTGTAGATCTAAACATCAGCAAAATTTGTAATTTTGGCTGATTGCTACTGTTAAAGGAATAGTACACCCAAAACATGATTAGCCTTCATTTTCTACTCACCTCCATGCTGAACAACACTCTGGAGTACTTTTTTGATATCTCAAATGCATCTGGAGATCTGGGAGGCTTCTTGCTGTCTGCTGACATTCAAATAATGGAGGTCCATGGCGCCCGAGACAGAAAGGTCCATAAAAGTCCACAAAAACGTGTCAATATTCCTCCATACTGCTCGTCCAATGTAATCCAAGTGTCCTGAGTGGGTAGCATCCAGAATTTACTCGAAACGAAGTCATTTAGAATGTTTTTAGAGCATAAACAGTAGTGTATAGGATTTCCTAATAGCGCCCCCATGCACGCTCACGATTCTACGGAAGCCGGCAGACCAAACCGGAAGAAAGTGCGCATTCAGCGTCTGGTCTGCCGATAATGCGAGCGTAGAAGAAGAAATGTGCTGTTTACCTGTGCAAAGAAAGAAACAACGAAAGAAAAATGTCTGAGGTCTTCAGTGTTGAGGAAGAGCATGAGTTCTTTGCCGAGCTGAATGCGCTGGTTTGGTCTGCCGGCTTCCGTAGAATCGTGAGCGCGCATGGGGGCGCTATTAGGAAATCCTATACACTACTGTTTAGGCTCTAAAAACATTCTAAATGACTTCGTTTCGAGTAAATTCTGGATGCTACCCACTCAGGACACTTGGATTACATTGGACGAGCAGTATGGAGGAATATTGACAAGTTTTTGTGGACTTTTGTGGACCTTTCTGTCTCGGGCGCCATAGACCTCCATTATTTGAATGTCAGCAGACAGCAAGAAGCCTCCCAGATCTCCAGATGCATTTGAGATATCAAAAAAGTACTCCAGAGTTTTGTTCAGCATGGGGGTGAGTAGAAAATGAAGGCTAATCATGTTTTGGGTGTACTATTCCTTTAAGTTTAGGGTAATTAACTGCTGGCAATATTACAATTTTTTAAGAACTTTACAATTACTTATATTTTTACACTATATTTCTGTATTTTCTACATTCGTGACTGTCACAATTATTTAGGATATATATTTATTCAGTTATGACAATGCCATGTATTTTCTACGGCAGTATAATGCTGTGAATATTCTGGTCAGTAACTGCTGGCATTTTACAATTTTTTACAGTAAATTTACTGACTTTCTTTGCAGTTTCGACTTACGGTAGTTCCATGTAATTTCTACGGTAATGCAATGTTTTTGGATACGACGGTCAAAAACTGTTGGTCTTTTACCATTTCTTACCGTAAATTTACTGACTTTCTTTGCAGTTTCGACTTACGGTAGTTCCATGTAATTTCTACGGTAATGCAATGTTTTTGGATACGACGGTCAAAAACTGTTGGTCTTTTACCATTTCTTACCGTAAATTTACTGACTTTCTTTGCAGTTTCGACTTACGGTAGTTCCATGTAATTCTACGGTAATGCAACGTTTTTGGGTACGACGGTCAAAAACTGTTGGTCTTTTACCTTTTTTTACCGTAAATTTACTGACTTTTTTTACAGTGTAGATTCACGCTGAAGGCATCAAAACTATGAATTAACACATGTTGAATTGTATACTTAACAAAAAAGTTTAATAATAATAATAATACACCTGTGTGCATCACTCTGTGAGACCATAAACCTCTTTAACTAGTACCTTTATGTCATAACATCTTAGTGGATAGTGGCAATGTGTGCTTGGGGGAGATAAGATAGCAGAAATATTTGGGACCAAAAAAAAAGGAAAAATTATTATTATTATAATTTTTTTTTTTTGTATTTGTTTGTTTTATGTGAATATCCTCAAAAGGTCATTTTTTTCGGGTATAAATTAGCTCTAAGCTGCATAATTTAGATTAAAAGAATTAAAGGCTTTGTCACTCCATTCACTCTAAATGAAATACGTGATATAATAAATTGTAATATTACTGAAACAGGTGAAATAATCTGACCTTTTGTTGATATTTCACTTATAGAGATGCACCTGAGAATGTGAGGAGTATCACATTTAAAGTCCCCTGATTCTCCCTCTCCCTCCCTAAGCTGTCGGCAGATATGTCTTCCTTCACACTTGGAGTCCTCCAATCTACCAGGCCTTTTTCACATTAACCCGTCACGTTTCAGCAGCCCCCTTACATTAGTTGCTCTAAGAAATCAATCTCATTACACACTGGAGGGACATACATTTAGTTTAAAGATGTTTCTTTGTCCTCATCTCACTCCTTTCTCTTTTCTTCTTTGTGCCAGGATTTGAAGCCAAGAGGAGACAATGACATCTATAAGGAATTGGAACGGTAAGGAAAAATGTCTAGCATCACCTGTGAGTGGAGCTGTTTATGTGCCACTCGTCACACTGGCCTCACACTTACCAATCACACTGGCCTGCACATCACTCTGACACTACGGCATAATATCACGCCATGCAATGACAGGCCGCACTCCTTTGCCTCTGTGTTGTTGTTGCGTGGGCTGCTTGTGTTTGTGTTAAAAAGGGGGGGAAATGAAAGAGTTTGGAGAACTGGAGTTTTTTTTTTTTCCTATTTTCTTTTTTTGAGAGAGTTTGTCTTTGTTCTCTGTTTTCAGATACGAGCAGTGTCAGGGCTGATCACCTACCCACATTTCATCCCCATCCAGCTGTCACATCCTCTCTCTTCACAGCTGCCGCAAAAGGCCTTTTATAAACAGGAGGAACTACTCAACGTCAGAGTTGGGGACTTAAAGAAAACTTTTGAGCTTTATAGAAATGCTATTCGGGTTTTTCTTGCAAGCTACCGCTCTTTAGACATTACGGAAACCCACAGACATTTCCAGAATGGGTGGCTGTTAATCTTACACTGTAAAATCGAAATATTATTCATGTAATTTATTACAAAGGCATCGCAGTGTGTAACATGCATCTCTGTGATGATTTATTTAATATGGCTGCAAGTAAGATGAATCTATGTGAGCCTCTTACTGAATCAAACAAGGCAGATTTTAAATGCTGTATTGCTCCAAAAAGAATGCTGGCATAACTTAATTAGATCTACTGCTTCTTTACTTTACTGTGCTTGAATAGTTAAACACTTTGTTATTCATTTTTAATTTGGAAGGCATAAAAGAGGTAATTATTGCTGCTTTCGTCTACTGTGTTGGCAGAGAATTATGAAGAGATTTTAAAATTTCAAAAATTTTCGTTGATCTACAATCGACAAAAATATACATCCAACACTTTTGGTACCAAGATAAAATTGTTTCAATATCTGCATAGAAAGTGTTTTCTTCCTGCATTGCTAGGGCAAGGAGCCTGACCAAAAATGCCAGAAATGCTGCTATTGTAAAATAAAATACAAAAGCAAACCCTTGTTTCACTTGCAAAGGTAAAAAACATTCTTTATTTAACAGTCTTTGTCCTTAAACCACATTATATATTATGTAGCTGTGTTGCCCTGCAAAATATCGCTGCAGGGCATCACAGAGACACACAACCATGTACACACACACTCACACCTAAGGACAATTTAGAGATGCCAATTAACCTAACAGTCATGTTTTTGGACTGTAGAAGCCAGAGTACCTGGAGAGAACCCACGCATGCACAGTAAGAACATGCAAACTCCATGCAGAAAGACCCCGGGCCCGGAATCAAACCCAGAACCTTCTTGCAGCAAGTCAATAGTACTACACACTGTAAAAGTGTCAACTCTTCTTTTGCAGATTGAACATGTGAGACTTTTATTTATGATTCCAACATGAAAGCTATCAATTTATATATTCATTTCATATAATAAAGCATCCATGTCTCTAATTTCAAAGCAATGTTTATCCATAGATCTGGGCTGTAACAGTTTGAGTTGAAATGTCTATTTCATCATAGTCAAAAGATTTTATTATCGTCAAGTTGGTGCGAACAATGAGAAATTTGACGTTGGTTTCACTTTTCCAAACAGTAGGATTGGTGCAAATGGGTACTTTAACTGTTGGATATTTAAGAGATATTTAAGAGTCTGTGTGGCAACTTACTTTTGTGAATAGTGCACTGTAGCTCCTACCTGAAGTTCAAAGTCAAAATATTTTTGTGTAAGATGTGTTTGGGCTTTGTAAATGAACCACACCACAAAGTGATGGAAAAACACAGACCAGACTGAATAATGATACTGTAGAATATGACCAGAAGCTCTTGTCAATGGTTTATCTGCTTGATTTGCTGCAGGAGTTTAGTCTCTGTTGATCCTTCTTCTAAATATTGTCTGTTTATGAGAACCAGCTTAGGTAGAGAGAAAGGGTGGTTTAGAGGAACCAGAAGTGATCCACACCAGAAATTGTTAATTAGATTGTGAGGGGAAGCATTGTGTAGGGTGTCTGGAAGTCCACCACAATCTCTACAGTCTTTGGCAGGTTAATGTCCAGGTGGTCCTGACAGCACCAGTGGATAATCAGATCCACCATCTGTCTGAATGCAGATTCATCACTGTCCCGGAACAGATCAGCTACAGTGGGGTTGTCCGTGATCTTTGGGAGTTTCACAGATGGAAATCTCTGAAATGCTGCAAAGTCTTCACAGAATAAAAAGGAGTGTATGTGTGGGTGTGTGTGTCTGTGTGTGTGGGTGTGTGATGTCAAATAAACTTTTATTATCTAAATTTTATTTTGATAATTTTATTTTTCTAGCTAGTATTTTTATTCTTCATAGATTAATTTTGGGAAATCCAAGTATGCTTCATATTATGGATGAAAACAGTCAGATTAAGGATTATTGTGGTACAATTCAACACCTTTGATGAACAAGCAATGTTTTATTTAATCCAGAGATAAAATATTGTTACATGTTCTGTAGGTAGACTGTTCCAGCAGTATTTTTACAGTTACATATTCCTGCAGCAGCTCTATAGTTTTAACATTCCTGTCAGTTTACAGGGGGAAGCCAAAAGGAGGAAAAAGAATGGGGGCGTCTGTGACCGACAACAGTTTTTGAATAAATTGTTCCATTTTAAGTGAGAGTTATTTATAATATGAGTTACAGTGTTTGGACGAAGAGAATGTGACAATATATTCTAACGTAAGCATAGTGAGTATTTGTCAACAAACGTAGTGCCAAGAACAGAGAGATGGCTGGTGTCAGAGACTCTGAGGCTCCTGGATGTGATTTAACGGGCAGAGGGTCCAAAAATATTACAGGTAGGAAATTAAAACGTAAATGATTTTCCTCCAGGCCTCAGCACTATGGTCCCTGACCTACAGCTCTCATCTGCTCTGCTATCTGTACAATAAAAATGAAGGATTGATGAATTCCAGCTGACCAAAAATATTGAAATATTTTCTAAACATCATCATCATAATATATGAAGTGAGAATTAGCCGTTAACACATTAAAATAAAACTCTTTGTGAGTAGGCAATTAGAAAAAACAAAACAAAAAAAAAAGTGTCATATATTCAAAACATCAAATTATATTTTGGAAGATTTATGTGATATATTTTCAATATATGTGAATGTATGTTACTTCGGCGTCGGCAGAGGCACGATCTGGATCTGCGGTGCCTGGGTATGCCAGGAGCACTGATTTTTTAATTAATTAATTTTCCGCATTCACAACTCCGCTCTCACAGCTCATTTATCCCAGCATGGATAAAGACAGGTAGGACTGATTTAAAGCACTTTGTAGAAAAGGCAAAGAAGAACTTTTTCTAGATGTTTGTTAATTTGCATAGTTGCTCATAAATAAAGACATTGTCAGAAAATAAATAGATTTTATATATTAATCAAATATAAGCTGACTAAAAGATTCTCCATTATTAAACTGGTACATTATTATTTTTTTAGCTTTCTGACATCATGTTGGATCATGCAAAACACAGATTTACCTTCACAAAGCCTCAGAAGGGCAGGATTTATGTACAAAATGTAAAGTTGTTCATGAAATTATGTTTTGTTTTTGGAATGTTTTTTGTTGTTGGCATTCATATAAATATACTGGTGTGATAACTTAGTAGATGTTTGATCGGTTTTTGGTATACGTCTATTTTGAATTTATAGCTTCCCCTGGAGAAAACTCCACCAACCGCCACTGGCCGAGACGATACCGTTTACTGTTAAAAAAATTTACAATCAGCTCTCCCATATTTCTGGCCATGATATACACACCTCATAGGATAATCACCATCACACCATCATAGGATGGGCCCAAATAGAAATTATACACACAGACATATATGCATGTAGAGGTATGTTTTTTTTTTTTTTTTTTTTTTCTTTTACAGTTGCACATTTCAAGTTTTAAGTTTTCAAGTTCATGTTTGCTGACAGATATTTAATGAAGATAAATTGTGCCTTCATCAGAAGTGGATTAGAAATATACAGTTAAGTTCACAAGTGGGCCAATTCAATTCAGTTTGGTTCAGGTAGATATTTAATGACGCAGAAAATAACAATCTGATTGTACAATTTAACTATCTTTCAAGGCTGCACTTTTAAAAAAGATGAAATTGTCCAGTGAGCTGTTCCAAACGAAATTTCTTTTTGTTTTACACTTATGTAAATGAAATGACAATTATTTTTTGTTTCTGCATTTTTTATTTCATTTTATTTTTTTAGTTTTTCCTACTTGCTTTGATTCTGTTTTATTTTCCTATTTATTTCCTATTTTAATCATGTAAATCACTTTGCATTGTCTTTGTACTGAATTGTGCTATACAAATAAAATTGCCTTGCCTTGCCAAATAAAATCTGTCTAAGTCTCTAAGTCTTAAGTGCTATAAAATATTCAGTCTCATGCTTTCATTAATTATCTGTGCCCATGCTTTTTTAAAATAAATAATTGCCCCCCAAAATATTTTTCTTTGTGCCGTATTGTGCCCCTTTATAGTATTGTGTCAGCTGACGCCCCTGGTTGGTTAGATGATAATGTATGGACAGGTACAGTAGGTCAGGAAGTAAACTGAAAGTTATAAAATTATGTTATTTAGAAAAAAATACAAAAAATATATATATATTCTGTTTTGTATTGTCTTCATTTTTATGTATTTATTTTCAAATGGGGTACTGAAGAGCTGATTTGATTTTAATATTTGATGCAAAACAAGTCTCATTCTTTTATTTCATTTTGATTTTTCCGAGTTTTGGTCAGTGCAGGCTGCCGTAGCCACCGAGGTGCAAGAATGGCGGCTTGGATGTTGTACCGCTGTGTATTTGGGCCTCGTCTTCAACGTATTCACCGGTCTCCGGAACCGTCTCGACCTGAGGGCAGACTGGTCAGAAGGGTAGGAGACAATGAGTTTTACTTCGTTTTAGAGCTACTGAGGTCGAAATGTTTAGTTTTCCTCTTTAATGGCTGCGGTGGGCGGTTGTTATTGCTGTCATTGCTCTGCTTAGCTTAGAATGACAGTTGGTGATGGGTGAACGAGCAGAGAGGGGGATATGTGCAATTATTTATCCGTTTTAATTTATTTTCTATTTCAGCACCATTATAATATCTAATCTAGCTGTAAATAATGATTTCATTGCTTTTATTATTTTTTTATTGCTCCAGCTCCGCGTACTGTAGCTTGCTAACATGGTAACAACACTTTGGAGAAGAAAAAAACTGCAATAATTCGAAGAGAAAATGATATCATTGTTTGAATTTAATAGACCGTAAAACCCTGTTTTATGGATAAATAATGTTTTGTTTTAGTTGTTTTTTAACCCTCTTCCTCCCTTTGAGATAAATCTCTACCAATTAAGCTAACGTTAGCTTATTTAGCCTGTTTTTACTTCTCACAGGGGTGGAACTACCAACCCAGGGGTCTGGAAAAACACTCTGACAGTATCCTTGGCTGGGTCAGTACAACATTTTCTTACTTGTCTTGTTGAAATGCTAAAACTCTTTTATTAAAGTGTAAATGATTTTCCTCCAGGCCTCAGCACTATGGTCCCTGTCCTACTACAGCTCTCCTCTCCTCCTCTGTTATCTTTACAAAAAAGGTAGGATTGATGAATACCAGCTGACTGAAAATATTAAGGGGCTATCTTTTAAACATTACATCGTCATAATACGTATATGAAGTGAGAATTAGCTGCTTAAACATTAAAATAAACCCCTTGGCAGCTGCTGTTTTTCTTTTAGATTTTGTCTGTATTTCATTGACATAAAATCATTGTGTGAGTTTGTTTTATGACACAGTATACATGAGATATTGAGCTCCCTTGTTGTTTGAAGAGCTCAGTGGTTGCTTTTTATGCGTTATGATATATTCTGATTTCAACCAATATATTAAGTTTATGTCATTTTTAACTGTCATTGGAAGCGCCTGAACATAATTTTAAGACGAACCAATGAGTTATGTGAATAAGAAGCAGGTTGTTTTTGTATAGAAAGTCAAAATATAAACGTCTATGGAACAATAGCCTCCTGTTGGTCAAACAATTATCAATAACTGGATGAATGTTTAGAAAGAAGTTTTATTTCTATTTTGTTTTTCATTTAAATAAAATGATAAAAAACAAAAATGCTTTAAGGGAACCAAAGCCTTTGCAGGAATACAACCAATGCCTCTTTATAACATTATAAAAGAAACACATTTACGACTAGAGGAACATGGGCTTAAATGTACATATATGTGCTGAAGGCAAACTAAAGAATAAAAAAATACATAATAATAAAAATCAATGCACACATTTGTCTGATCATTAAAATACCAGCACAGTAGTTATTAGTAATATTGCAACAAAAACTCCATTGATGGTTTAAATTAGGTTTCAAAAACAAAATAATACACTGAGAGAATTGATGAATAATATGTAGGTGAGGTAGCAATGATTTCCAGCCACCTAAAGACGTTTCAATAACCTTTGTTGCAGACAAACTTTCCTAATTTTGGAAAATAGAGGTCAGAGCAGTTCTTTGCACATGATGTACTTTAGTCTCCTAGAAGATCTTCATGGCTGATTGCCAGATCACTACAATAAAGAAAACAAAACTGCTGTTTAATTTAGCAGAGTAGCACACAGAAACATAACATGCAATTCATATCCCAGATCAATCGACCAAAGAAATCCTGATATCCACCAAGAATCTTTCTGTTTTTCACCAAGCTTCATGGTATTCAGAGGTTTAATATTGATTTATTTATTTATTATTTATTTATTTTTTGGTTTTCATTAAAAGTTGGATTTCATCCAAGGAATACACACGCAAAAAAAAAAAAAAAAAAAAAAAAAAAAAAAAACCTGTTGGTTAAACTAGAAAAGTGGGATTTAATGGACAATTCTTCAGAAAGTCCACAAATGGATTTTTGCTTGTGAATAAATCTAAATGATAAACTGATCTGTTAAATGTCAAATAATTATTACGGATGAAACATTAATGAGCTCAGCTGCATGTCTGTTTTATGATCTTTAAAATAGCCACCTGCTATCTGTTTTCTTTGCTCTTGGTAACGGCTCCTTTAAGAGTTGGGGGCAAAAGCCTCTCTTTAGGTAATTCCTTTTGGTTGAAGCAGTGAAAGCATTAAAATCTGGGAAGTGTTTGGAAATGACAGACAGTCAAATAGCTGTCTGAATCTGAATTCTTTATGAATACAGTTCTCTAAAAAATTATTAATGGACATGTCCTTGTACATGGCTGATGTCCTACAAGCAGAATTAATCCAAACATTATCAACCGGCTCATCCAGCAAGGCTGAGCATCGGTAGAAATTAATTACTCAAGGTTATGTGCCACTCCTTAAAGGAGAAGTTCGGTTTTTAACACTTTTAGCCCATTTTCTGTAGTGTCCGGGATGAAATCAAATGATCGACACCAAAAGTTTGACAATTGCTCCTGTCTCTGCTTTTTGGCTCATTTAGAATCCACCCCTGGCTGCTTTAGAATGGCTTCCATTGTGCATGTCCGATAATGTCCTTAAAACAACCTTAAACGTTCTTTTTTTAAATATGCTACTCACCGGGTCGTCAGCGCTGTTCAATGACGTTCCAAAAAAAGTTTTGTGAAGAAAAAACGTTCCTGTAGTGTTTTATTTAGCATTTTGTAAATCCCATTGAGTTCTGTAGGAATAGTCAATATTCCGCTGCCACCGGAAACGGAAATGGGGCCTGTTTACACAGTTGTAGTCTTTGTTTTTGGCTTTCAGGCTACATCTGCAGCAGTAAGTTGGTTCCGGTGAGTCAGTACGTGGGAACCGTGCTCGTATGTCTTCTGGGCGTTGCATGTCTTCGAGGTGAGACTACTGAGTTTTTCTTTTAACCTCCTGCAAGGCAGTAACTAATTCGCTCCATTCATCTTTAGATATAGATAGGGATTCAGCTCACCAATAAGATTTCATTACCACTGAGACTGTTAAGCTAGGTTTCTGCCCATAAAGCATTCTAAAAAAGACCCTTTAGGTTTAGCAACAAAAGTTTTGTTTCATATAAACATAGACTTATCTTTTTTTTTTCCCCTTTTGCTTTTCCCTAAGGATGGGGGCGATGGAAAAACTCTGATTATGTTCAGTTTATCTCAGTTCTGGAAGAAACTAAGAAGAATCACACACAAGCAAACAAGGTAAAATTTCACTGATTGGGCTTAAGGTACAATGTTTAGAATTGCAGGAATAAATCACATTCTTGGTTTATTGTTATCTAGTTATGATTAAAAAAAATGTCAATGAGTCTTTGGTTTGTGTTTTTTCTAGAAAAAGCTGAGGTGTTATGACTTTGACTTCTCACACTGGCCTTCAGATTTCAGCTGGACAGAAGTCAGCAGTCCGTAAGTTACTGGTGTCCTTTTGAAATGGCTGTTTATTCAGTGAATTTCCACTTCAATTAGGATCCGTTTCTAACATTAACATGGATTCAGCTGAGGTAGAGTAATGCTGACTAAATATTTACTATAAATATGGCAGTTTTTATTGCCTTTTTTCCCGCATTTTGTCACAAAAAACAAAACGGAACCGTTGATAAGTCTTAATATCCCTACACAAAGGAGTGCAAATTGCTATAGAAAATATGTTTTTCGATTTTTTTGGGAAAATATGACAAATAATATTCTTTAAAAAATGGCATCACAAAGGTACCACATAACTACAGACTAGTCAAAACATAGCCAGTTAGCTAGACTAACCCAGGCATCCCCAACCTCGGTCCTCGAGGCCCGCTGTTCTGCAGGTTTTAGAGGTTTCCCTGCTTCAGCACAGCTCATTATAATGATTGCAGTAGACCAAAAGCCTGTTAATCAGCTTTTAATTAAAATCAGCTGTGCTGGAGCAAGGAAACCTCTAAAACCTGCAGGACAGCGGGCCTCGAGGACCGAGGTTGGGGATGCCTGGACCAACCTGCTGAGCTAGGGGAGATAAATAAGAGAATCATTCAACATGTAACTCTGGAGGAGCTGATGATATCTGCTGCTCAGGTGGCGCAATATGTTGATAGGGTCATTAACAGGAGTGTTTAAATGGTAAGAAAGACAATATTCTATTAAAATACACAGTTGTATAAAGTGACAAAAATTAGGAATAGTAGAAAGGGTTTGAATGTGGTTATTAGCTGCTACATTTATGTGCTTTTGTATTTATATTAATGTGCACATTTCCCCATGAAAGGAAACAGTCCAAAGGTGGTGTTTCTCTGCTGAAGCCAGAGCCCAGACTGAGGGGGACAGCAGACAGCTTAATCAACTCTGTACGCACTTTACCATGCCATGTCATTGGGTATGTATACTAATGTATGAGTGCTGGGTGAAATTTTAACATTTCCACAAATACAAAATCTCTTCTTAACTATAGTTTTGACACAGCATGATTTATTTCTGGTGGTCTTTTGCAGTTTTCTTATTGCTCACACATTCGGGAGGCGGATGTTATACCCCGGCTCTGTGGGTTTACTGCAGAAAGCAATGAGGCCCATGTTGCAGCAAGGCCAGGCTAAATTAATAGAGGAGGTAAAGCGAGAAAACCCCCAGCTTGCATAGATAGTAAATGTATCATACTGTCCACCTCTTATTCATTTTCTCTGCAACAGTATGATGGTCAAAGGAACAAGCTGGTGGCCTGTGATGGGAACGAGATTGACACCATGTTTGTGGATCGAAGGAAAGATGGTGGCAGGACCGGCCAGACGCTGGTAAATGTCGAAAATGATTTGTGTTTGTCCCCTAGCCGCAGTCCTGAGTCCAACAAAATCCCTTTCATATAACTGATGGTTGCTGAAATGTGCCACAGGTCATCTGCTGTGAGGGGAATGCCGGCTTTTATGAGGTGGGCTGCATGAACACACCTCTGGAGGGTGAGAAATGTTCTACTTAACGGCAGGTCAGGTGCTTTGTTGTACAGCGCCTTGAAAAATATTCAAACCCATTGAACGTTTTTCACATTTGTCACCTAACCACAAATTTAATTGTAGCTCAGTAAGTAGTGCTTAATAGTGAAACATAAGAAACATCTTCTCTTGATTTTCGACCTTCCAAAGTAAAACTTGAGAAGTGGCATTAATTTGCATTTCACCCCATTTATTTTAAATCCCCTTAATAAAATCCAGTAATTATTAGTAAATGGAGTTAACTAATAATTCAAGACCCATGGCCTACCATCTGTAGTGCAAGCCTGGGAGGGGATGATTACTGAGAAAAATAGCAACTCTGGAGGAGCTGCTGAGAGTGACAGCTCAGGTGGGAGAGGCTGTCAATAGGATGATTATCAATCCACTCCACACATCTTTACCTTCATGTAAAAATAGCCAAAAGAACGTCATTGTGAGAACTCGCTGCGAAAGTTTTGAAATATGGTAATGGCAGAATGATGCTGCGGGATTTTTGTCTTCAAAAGGGATAGGGGCAACTTTTCAGAGTTGATGGAAATTTAATTAAAGGTCAATAATGAAAAGAAATAGCTTGAGATTTCAGAAGACTTGGACTTTGTCAAGTATATGATCAGAGTCACAAGATCAGAGTCGATTCTTAGAGAAGATTGCTATAAAATACTTCTTAGTTTGTTTGTTTAAAGTGACAGAGTGGAAAAAGTTCAAGGTGCATGAATAGTTTTGCAAGGCAACCGGATTCCAATATTAAACATACCGTCCCCCATGTTGATCTCTACAGGTGGTTACTCTGTTCTGGGCTGGAACCACCCTGGATTTGGAGGCAGCACGGTAAGTGGGGTTACTCTGTCCTCTGCTGTTGTTAAAGATGAATCACCCCCTTACTGTGCTCGCCATGCATCATCTGGTCCAAACAGGCCTTGCAATGGAAAAGAACGGCATGTGGAAAGACCAGTTTCTGTTTGCCTGCGTTGCACAAAAAGCCCAAACTTTCCCACTGTGGTATAAAATAGCTGGGGAGGTTATGACTGTTTCAATGGATGTAATGTTTTAGGAACTGAAAGTTGCAGTGATTAGTGATATTTTATTAATACTTTGAAATTTCCCTTTGGTATTTTCTTCCTGCCAGGGAGTCCCTTTTCCCCAGAATGAGGCCAACGCCATGGATGTGGTCATACAGTTTGCAGTGCATAAGCTCGGTTTTCAACTGAGTGATATTGTGATTTATGCTTGGTCCATAGGAGGATTTACAGGTACAGTACATAAAATATACAAGTAATCTATAATCTTTACTTTGAGCTTTAAAATGTAGGTATATATACTTTTTCTTTCTTTTTTAGCCAGCTGGGCTGTAATGTCATACCCAGAGCTCCAGTCAGTTGTGCTGGATGCCTCTTTTGATGATCTTCTACCCCTAGCACTTAAAGTGATGCCTGAGAGCTGGAGTGAGTGCACCCTGTTTAAGATTACACACTTCTTTAGTAAAATATATATGTCTACTGCTCCTTACAACATTAGCATTGCTCTTTTTCTTCAGGACCTTTGGTGCAGCACACAGTGAGGCAATACATGAACCTCAACAATGCAGAGCAGCTTCTCAAGTTAGTTGAACAGTCTGATTGTGGAGAAAATGATCATGAAAGGTTTAAGAGTGACTCAGCAAGACGCTTTACACGTCTCCTTCACCTTTTGCAGATATCAGGGACCAGTCCTGCTGGTCAGGAGGACTAGAGACGAAATCATCACCACCACGTATGTTTCGAACTGTTTAATATAAATTGTTTGCTTTTTTTCATGACAGTGTAAATGTCTGCTTTAACAATGTAGAGTTTAAAACTTTTTTTTCTTTTTATTAGTAAATATATAACCTCTGTCTTTCTGTGAGTCAGACAAACAGAATATAAGTTTTAAAGAAACTCCTCATTTTTTTTTCTCTTAAAAAAACTTGCTGGTTGGCATGAATTCCTTCCAATTAAATTGAACATAGCCCCTGCTAGAAAAAGTTTTTATCTGTTCAGTTTACGTCAAATATGAGGCCTTAAAAACATTTAAAAGACTTTCTCCCCCTCATTTGTAAAAAAAGTAATTCAATTATGCAGCTTCGCAAAAGAATCTTGAAGTTTGTCACATTACAAACACTAACATAACTTTATTATTATAAAGCTTTTTATAAGGATAGACCAACACAAAGGAGCACAAGTCTGAGAAGTGGCTGATTATATGATTACATTGATCCAGCAGAGAAAGGCAGAGAAATCTCAGACAGGTTAATTTATGTTAATGGTTAAAAAATTACCTGAACATTTTGCCCCATAAAGGTGAATATTTTTCTTGCCAAATCTTTGAGATTCTTCCTTCCTCAAGCTATATGAACGGAAGTGGACATACTTTAACTGTAGATATCTTACAGGGGTCCAGAGGACATCATGTCCAACAGAGGGAATGACCTTTTGCTCAGACTGCTTCAGTTCAGGTTGGTTCTCTTTCTCTCTCACATCCAGCCTCTGTATCGTCATAGTCTGGGACACTTTGCGTTTTCAGACCCAATATGTGACTGACTCATTGAATCCTTATGGACAGATACCCCAAGATAATGACAGATGAAGGAGTCAGAGTTGTCAGACAGTGGCTTGGAGCGTCCACTCCCTTTGAAGAAGGTAAGGGGAGGAGTTTGTGTGGAAGGAAGAAAGAAAGTAAAGTTCTTAAAATCTGGTTATGTTTTTTTCCCTCTAAAATGATTGTTTCCATCTGGGTCTGTTTTTAGAAGCCAGATAGTAAAATTCATTTGAAGAAAAATAGGTGCTGTACTTTAAAGAAGCTTGACTTATCAAGTCATTAAAAGTACGCATACCGTAAATTCTCTAATATTGGCCTGTATTCCAATAGCGGCCGGGTCTCTAACATTGGCCGGTCTCGCTGTCAGAGGAGGTAAATAATGGCCGGTCTCTAATACAGGCCGGGGCTATAAACGTTTTTTCTGGGCATACCTCAACATTATACTTGTGGTAGTAAGTAACATACAAGTACCACAGCCCTGCGCAGCTGGACGACAAGCCCTGCTGCTGCCCGTCTGCGCGAGGAAGAGAACAGACACGCAGCAGAACAGGAGGAGCGCGAGTGATGAGGAGAATAAAGGGAGAGATGAAGAGGAGGAGGAAACTGAGGAGGAGGATTAAACAGAATTGGAGGATTTTTTTTTTTTTTTACTTCAAACCAAGCGAGACATGGTAACTGTACTTTTTCAATAAATGAACCTAGTGTTTTATAGGTTCAAATAGACACAAAATCTCATTTTTATTCATTCCACTGGTAGTCTGTTTTGCTCAAATAGCAATAGAGGCCTGTCTCTAATACTGGCCTGTATTCAATAAAGGCCTGGACCGCGATGCACTTGAGTGAAATAAAGGCCCGGGCCTATATTAGAGAATTTACGGTATTTGATTAAATTTAAAAAGTTGAAACTCATGGATTCATTGAACACAGGTGGATATATCAAGCATTTATCTGTTAGTTTTAAATAACTGTTATATTATACATTTAATATAATTAAACATTATTGATCTCATACTGGAGAAATGTACCTCTGCATTTAACTCATTGCCTTGGGGAGCAGCGGGCTACAATTGTTCGACACACGGGAAGCAGTGTGGGTTTAAGGGTCTTGCTCAGATACCCAGAGTGGCAGTCTGTGGGGATCAAACAGCTACTTGACCCCTTCACAGAGCGTCAGCGAACTGCTCCAGACCATTAACTGTTTGTAAACACTATGAACATTTCTATGACAAATGACCAAAAACTATTTTTTCTTTCTAGAAAATGTTATTTAATGGCCTTTTAATTCATGAGAAAGATCCTGACTTGACAGCAAAAAGCCAGTGACAGCCTTTACAAGGAGGATAAACTCTGTAAAATCATTGCTTAAAGAAGCAGGCTTTTTTAACAGTGCTGGATTCAATCATAAATATGGATGGTTGAGTGAAAGGAAAAAATAGGATTATGGTTTGAGCTTGGAAAGATTGTTAGATTACTTTCTAGAGTTTGGGGTAGAGTGCAGATCAAACCTGATGTGGTCCTGGCAAATTCAGGACCAGGGCTGCAACTAAAGAAATTTCTTTCCTGACCCAGAGACAATAAGATATTTATATTCCCTGGAATAAGGAGAAAAGGAACTGGACTTTGTCTCTGTGCTCCTCTTTCAGATGAAATTTAAATTTAGAGATGAATAAAAACTAATGTCTGATAGCTGGATTGGATATTGGGGATTTGATATCGGATATCAGAGTTCCAATCCAGTGCACTTTACATGGACAGTTATTTCTTTCTCTTTGCTACTTATTTAATAAATAATATTCAATTGATTTGTTAGCTTTATGTAACAATGTTTATGTCAAGGATAAAGCCTTCCTTCTAATGGAAAGATATATCGTTCATTTATTTAACTGTTGAATTAGATTGGATGTCGGCTGATATGCTCACCACAGGTATCAGATTGGATCGAAAAAACTAGTTAGATTTTCATTTCATTTGAAAAGGGTTAAATTCCACGTTCGTGGGAGTCAAATGTAGTCCATTGCCTTTCTGATTGAAGGAGCCAGGTCATATGCTGTCGAACCGTTGGGTTTTTTTCAAGTCCAAATCTGGAGCATCTATCTACCCTATTAGAACACTGCTGACAAGAATGTCATGATTTAGTTTTCCAGAAGGATTTAGCCCCTGTCAACCCCAGTATGCTTTGATGACCACGGTATCCCTTTATTTGCTCTGACAGGAAAACTCTTTGAGCAACAGATCTATATAATGATTTTAAATTTTTTGTTAGATTAATAAGCTTAATGTTTGTGTTTTTAAACTTAACCTTGATATGAAAGTGGGCCTAACTTAAGTTTGCTGAGAAACCAATGAAATGGTTAACTAATATTGCTAACATTGGAGGTAAATATTCTTATCTCGCATGTCCAGCATCTTATCAACACAGACATTTTTGGCTTTCCTGCAAAACATGGAAAAATATAGAATATTGTTTTTGGTGTTTTTATTTCCTGATATCTGGAAAAACAAAATAGAAAATTTTTATCCCGTGTCAACCTGTTCTTTATTCTTGATGTGTCAACTCCATTAATTTTGTCTCCTTCCATGCTACCTTCATTTTGGTACTTATTTTCTATCCTCCTTTCTTGATTTTCTTCTTTCCTTGTTCCTTTCTTTTCATCCATGAATCATTTCTCCCTACCTTCCACATTTAAAGCCTGCAAGTTTTAGAAATGTTTCTTGAAAAACCAGACAAAATTTATTGAGCCATATCAGATGCCTCTACCCGACTGAAAGCTCCTATAAAAAAGGCTGAGTCAGGGAATGTGTGCATAAATGTGTCAGAATCCTAATTTCCACAGAGAGTAAGTGTAAAGTTAACCTGGGAAGTGTGTAGGCAGCCTTTAACCAGATAATCCTGTTGTTTGTCTGCAGCATCTGTGTATAGCGCCTACGAAGTGGACGACGACTGGTGCATATCTGTGCTGCAGTCCTACCAGACGGACAGAGACGTCCCGTTTCCATGGAGTGTTGGTAAGGCTCCACGATCACTAGAGGCAATCAGCTCCACGCAGGATTAAAGCAAACAAATGTTTTCACCGTGTGCTGACGCTCTCAATGTCACCAGGTGAAGACATGGCACCAGAGGGAAGGCGTCAGCTTGCTCTTTTCTTGGTGAGGAAATCTGTTTTCATCTTTGCTTAGAATCTCTGTGGCAGCCACTTGTTGCCTTTATCAAATCTCTCCTAGAAGGATTTTTTTTTTTTTTTTTACCTCAAATAAACCCCCACCACCCTTTTTTTATTCTTGGTTTTCTTACCTCCCGCCTCCTTACAAATAAAACACACTCAGCTCCTCAGACATCATTACTGCTAAGGAACACAGTTCCGGTCGCCATAGTAACAGGCTCACCTGTGCTCTCAGGTTGACTGGTGTAATATATTTCAGCACGCTCCAGCTTATTGAAGTCATTTAACATCAAACAAGAGGAGTGCCATCCATTACAGCTAATGCTATGCTTTTTCTCCCCCGGTGATGCCTTCTAATTTAGGCTCCATTCACCTCCTGCGTAAAGCCCTTAAGAGATGGGAGAGATTTGTAAGGCACTGAGCCAGATAGAATGAACCTAATATAATCAAGGCTCTGAACTCCTTTTTTTTTTTTTTTGTTTGTACGTCGGCTTCCCACACATCTAATTCTCCATTCCTCCTCCATCGTCTCTCTCTCCAAGGCTCGGAAGTACATGCGAAACTTTGAATCAACACATTGCACCCCTCTTCCTGCCGCCGAGTTCCACTCGCCCTGGAGACTTTGAGAAGGGGAAAAAAAAAAGGATGGATGGATGATGTGAGGAAGGAAAGCAAGAGGTCGATTGCCTGTGGTGAACTGTGTTCCTGCTGTGTTTTTTTTTTTATGGTTCCAGATCCTTTCCACACACAAACCGAGATGAGATTATTGCACATTTATTTCTTTTATGGTGTTTAGTCATTCTGTTGAGGATGCATTTAAATAAATGCACAAGCCATTACTCACTCCTTCCATTGTTCCCTCTTTGGCTGGGTTTGTAAAGCGAATGTAAGAGACATGTAATGCTCCGATTCAGTGTATAAAAACTAATCTTAACGTCGTTTATAGAGGATTTCCATCTGGGAAAGGCAGCCAAAGTGTTTAAGCTTTTCAGGGTTTTTTTTTTTTTTTTCCTTTTGTGGAAACTGTCTGTATGAATTAAGATGAAGCCTAAAATGATGCTCTTAAATATGCTAAATAAAATTTGGAGATGGATTTATTTTTTTCTGTGTGGGTTCATCACATCTTTAGTGCGTACCTACTGGGTTCCAACTTAATCTGGGAAATGCTTAATGTCATTCCAGTGATATCCAGGTTTATAGGCGTAAGGGAACGTTTTTGTACATCCACTTTTTTCCTTACCACGTCTACATCTTCAGTTCTGTTTTCTTCCTTTGAGCCAGTGTTTTTTTTGACAGCCATCGCTGATTTAACCTTAGTTTTCTTCTTCAGGACGCAAATTTAGTTTAAGTCACTAAAACTCAAAAAGGTTTTAATCAGTTTTATGTTGCAATTCATAAAACAGTTAACCATAACAATTTCAAATAACCAGATTCTTTACCAGACTGACAGCTCTTGCGTAGAAACTACAATTTGTTTGAATATAGAATGCTCCCCAGCAGTTCATCATTGCTGTTGGGCAGAAAACATTGATTTATAGAATTCAAATAAACTTTATGAATTAATGCCCTGCATTATAAAAAAAAAAGTGTCTCACTAAAGCTGTAAAAATATCTGATCTAGCTCAACTTATTGGTTAATCTAGTAGACAGAAAAGCTCAAAAAATGTACAATAAAGGAATGGTTTTAGACATACAAGGTTTCCATCCCAAAGCAAATGCTTTCTGATCTACTGTGAATTACGCTTTACACAAAGTTTATTAAAATCTCCATTGCTCCAGAAAAGCATAGAACAAAACATGCAACAATTTTGTCTTTATAAGAATTTACCTCCTTATTACCACTGCTCAGGGGTCAAAGTAGATTTAAATTCACAGGGGTCTGATATAAAAAAAAAATGCACATATAGCCTACTAAATTGCCTTATTGCCCTAAATTTAAAGAATGAACTAAAATGTTGACGTATTTCATCTGGGTCTTTATCCAAAAAATAATCAGTATGCTAATAAATATGTGCTTTGGATATAATTTAGGGATTCCTTTTGGCAGGAATTAAAGGTCATCACCTCTTGTGAGCTGGAAGGAATAAAATCTTGATAGTTGGACAAAGGGATGTTTTATGCTTGGCAGAAGATGATCAGCCACATATAGTTTATTAAGTAGCGAGTGCAGGAAGAGCCATACTGCTCAGAGTGAACAATCAGTGTGGAGCAGAGACGCATTTCTGCACAAGGACAGCTGGACCAGGAGAGTTTTTCCAGAGTTGAGCATGCAGTACCGGACTATTCTGGATTACTTTCACTTAGTCTCGTCGACAAAACTCCCACCTATGACTCGTCATGTTTTCATCATCAAAGTTCCTTTCCTTTTTGGAAATTACTTCCTTGAATCTCTTTCCTGTTTACATCATCCTGCTCCTCAGCCTCGCCTTCCATCTTAACTTCTTTCAGCCCATCCTTTTCCTCCCCTTCCTTTGTAGCATTGTTTGCCTTCCTCTTCTTTATACCATTTGGTTAATTGTTTTGTCTTTCTGCACTGCAGAAATATTTGCCTAAACTGACTACATGTATATATTTTTAGGTGGCCTTACAGGTCAGAAATCTAGAAAACTGAATTCTTCCTAAATGAACCATGTGTATGAATGCTTTAGCTGACAGGAGATGTAAAAATGGATTACACACAACAGCTTTTACTTAAATCCTGTTTATTTTTAAGAGCTTCATTTATTCCTTTCCATACTACATTTTTGTTTGAAAAACCACAATGACATGAAAAAAACAAAACAATCCCGGTTCACATAAAGTGGAAAGTTACATCATTTTCTTGAAGTTTTCTATGGCTTCTTTCACTTTCTCAAGCTCTGTTTGGCTCTGGCGTAGCTGTGGAAGAAAGGAGAGAAAACTACAAGTTATTTACCAGGTATTCACACATCAACCAGCTTCAGGGACCCTGCAAGTCAATTTCTTTCTGTCACCTTCTCAGCATCCTGCTCCTGAACCTTTGCTGGCACCTTCTCCTTGTAATCACTCTTTGCCATCTTCTCTCTCAGTTTCTCCATCTGCTTCTCCAAGTCGCCTTTCTTTGTCATCAGCTTAGTCACTTCCTTCTCTACGTCGATGAGGCCCTACAGGGGGGGAGCAGGACAACACTTTTAAATCATTGAGTAATTTCAGCTCTGAAGGTGAGAATGAAAAACTCAGGCAGCGATCTGAGGATGTATGTCTTGATTAGCATACAGATATGTGTTTATGCTTTTAGGGCTGTGTTAGTGCTGTAATGTAATTTGTCAGAGCTGAAATGAAGCATTCAGCTGATTAACAACAGGAAAACATATGGAAAATGTCAGCCCATCTGTTGGATACTCAGCGTAATTTACTCAAATTTATAACAAGAGGATAAAATGAAATATAAATACAGTTGACTTATAGGTGAAGTTCAAGAAGTAATGAAACTTTTTCCTGGCTAAACATCATGATCACATCTTTAACGTGCTCGACACCCTTTCGCTACCTTAACAGCCTGTGCTAGGATATCTGCCTGTTCAATCAGACACCAGAATGGACTTCCTGAGGAAGGACAGGTCTTTCAATGTTTGCACGTCTGCTGTGAGACTGCAATCTCTTGAGGTAGCGCCATCAACAGAGTGTTTGTTCTCTTCTAAGTCTTCTGGAGTGGTGATCCAACACAGAGGAGTGTTCATATCTTTTAATAAATATAACAGGCGACACTGAGGGTCCTTTTCATACTAGCAGTGGGTTCAGTCAGAGGCTTGGGAGGCACTGTGATACAGACTGCTACAGCTATTGCCATCTACATTTCAATTCCCAATTGATCCCAATGGAAACTAGGTTTTGTATCCAGATGATCCTCCTTCTGCTTTAACACTGATCTTCATCCCTGACCACACGTGTCTGATATTGTTTTCCTAGAGCTTGCTCTTCAGCTTCTTCCTGCTTTCTCTTATTTTGACCTTGAGTCGCTTCTGTATACTCCTCAATAGTTTATAGTCTCCTTTTCTGAAGACTCCTTTTTTCTTGTTTAGCCCTTTTGCCAAATCACTGGTGATTCAGGGTTTATTGTTGGAAGCATCTCACTGTTGGGTGGGGATGGCGTTATCTACACAGAAGTTAATATATTTTGTCACACTATCATTGATGTCCTCTCCGTGTGGCTGACAGGACATTACAGTCTGTAGCCTCAAAACAACATTGCAGGACTGCTTCGTCTTCTGTGACCATCTTCTTTCAGTTCTCTTCAATGCAGGTCTATTTTGCCTTTTCTAAAGAGGGATTATACTTTAATCAGAGGAAAAAAAAAAGACAGATTCGATTTCCAAAGATGTCTTAATTCAGAGATACAAGAGACCTTAAGATCTGCATAAAACAGGTCCAAAATTTTGTTTTCTATGGTACAGCAGCTGAAAATCTGTTGACATGTTGAAAGTGGAGCAGAGTGAGGTATGCTCAACTGTTATAGTGGCCGAGGAACTGATGACGTCACATGAAGTTAACTTTATGAAAAACAGCAGTAAATGAAATCTAAATAGTTGCCAAAACAACAATGGTGATTAGTGGCTAAATAATATGGACAAAAGCTAACTGCCAATAGTTCAAAGTTTGTGCTAGAGAGACCATAATTCACAGTAGCATGTCCTGGGTGATAACCAGTGGCACTGCCAACCCACATCCCTACAGTTTTCCAGCCTTCTTTAAATCTATGTCTGTTCATGAGGTCAGAAAACCTGGCTGAGAGGCACCGTCAGGGATGTGGCCCAACAGCCATGTTTCAGTAAAATGCATAATATTGCCTTTCCCTTATTCTGTCTGGGTCCATGCCAGGGCTTCAAGTTCTTTTAACTTGATTCCTAAAAATCACACATTGTCTATAATGATTGATGGGGGAGATTGCTTGTATTTTCTCCTCCTTTCTCTTCGCTCCTGTTCTGCATCATCGGCACCTCCTTTTTAACTCAGCAGAGACTTACTAAAGTAGTTAAAATATTATATCTGCTTTTGAGATGCTAATAAGTTGCTCCTGGGTGTAAAAATAAGTCAACTTGATACGGTTGCTATGGTTTCCAATCATTACAAAGGTCCAAAAAAAATCCTTTCAGCAGCACATCATCCAACACCAAAAGTTTAAAAAAGAAATTTGGGAATAAAATAGTCAGCCTAGGTGTTGCATGCCATCCAAAATATGATTCATAATGTATTCTGAGACCTTTCTATCAGAACCAGGCATAAAATATTTGTGTGCAAATTCTCAGTCATCCGGGTCATGGCAACCTTAAAAGAGGATTAAATCCGAGGCAACCAGACTTCCACCCAGTTTCTCTGAAAATAGTTTTAACACCTATCTAGGAGTCTTCTATGTTTATCTGGAGCGATGTTTTTAGGCACTGTTTGGCAAAGGTTCTGGCCATTTGAATCATGATGAGCATGCATGTGTCATGTCTCTTCAGAATCAGTTCCGGGACAGAGGTGTAAATGCTTAAAAGCTGAAACTGCAATCCTCCCCCTCTTTAAAAGAAAAAAATGCATCACTGAACAAAGATGGCATCCTTCACCCCTCTTTCAAACTTCAAAGACGTATCCTTTGTTGCAGAGGTCCAAGTGTATAACTGAATCTTGTAAAGACTCAACATA